AGCCTTGTGGTTAAAGCATTCGCTCGTCACGCCGAAGACCCGAGTTCGATTCCCGACATGGGTACAATGTGTGAAGCCCATTTGTGGTGTCCCCCGCCGTGATACTGCCGAAATATTGCTAAAAATGACGTAAAATCATACTCACTCACTCTGACAAAACAAAATTGTAAATGAGTTGGAAACTTACAGTAGGTGATGTGACGCATAGTCCAGAGAAGTAACACAAAATATAATGTAACTGAAAGTTATTGCATACTATTTGAGCATTCATCCAGCTTCATGGTCTATCACAGTCTATGGACATTCATTCTCGGGACAGATTTCAGTCTAGCAAATTTGGTTTAACTCTTTCAAACATCAGTTTGTGTGTCTGCTAAGGGACCGACCATTTGTTATTTAGGTAGTGGTGTGGGATGAGTAACTTGTCCTCAGGTCTTACCAAAATATTTAAATTGTTCGCAGGACATGCGGGATGTGCTAAAACATTTGCAAATGGACTGTTCCTCCTTCCACAAAATACATATAAAACAATACGATGGTAATGAAATGGTTGGTTCCTAACTCATATTTTCTTATGTATAAGATATAGTCGTGAATGGTTACTCTAATTACACGGAGACAATGTCTTTGTTTTTCACAACACATTAATTAGAACGTCTAGACAAATACTGCAATGGGCAACAGACCGTGAATCACAGTTTCTCTTTGAGTAGTATCACATAGCCATACACCAGAAAGGGGTTTTCACAACGAACATGCCATACAGCGTTTTACGTATTTACAGATGCATGTGGAACTTTTATCACCTTGTCCTTCTAGCATACGAAAATAACCATGCAACCAATGGGTTGTTCTTAGATCTGAACTTCTCGTAACGCTGGCTGATGTTCTATGCGGGATCATGGTTACCAGATGTCTTTTGTCTTCAAGGAAAAGACACCCGCATTATTATTTGCCAAAATATTTAACAAATCTTCTATGTCGTTAGTTCAACATAAAACTCCGTTAATACTTCATGATTATGTATTTCTTTCGGTAGAAGGCTCGCTCTGGCGAAGAAGCAGAGAGCACATGTCCACGACAATGACTCTGCCAGATCTCCCAAGAGTACTGTAACTGTTACATGCTATTACAGCTAACCTATACACGGGTTTGCTGTTTCACTTGGCAAAGAAGTCAATAGAAAAGTGAACTCTCACCGGGGCTGTTAAATTCTGCCTGTGAAAGATTAATGGCGGATGAGAATCTCATAGTCAAAACACGTTGATTCTTGTTCTGTGCTTAGTCTCGCGTGGTCCTTCGAGACACGGATGCAAGGATCGACGTCCTATTGGAGACCATTTTATAGGTTTCATGTCTGATTAGAGGATTATGATTAAAAATTAATAACTCTCGTAACATAATGAGTTCGTATGCATTTTTAATAACATTACATTGAATCGGACCGACAATGTTCCCAAAAACTAATTATAACAGACAGAACTTAAAAAAATTGTTCGTGGGTTTATTTGCATGTATCATGGCTATCAATGCCATTTTATTACATGCATATGGCGTCTCAAATGACGAACGGGTCAGGAAACCAATATCACCTTTCACTAGCCAGTTACTTAAACATATTTGCATTTGGTGTAACTGGGCATGGCTGCACCATCGTCTATGTAGCTACAATTGTACAGAGTTGCCGCTCTGCACCCGTTGATTATGGGTTCAGATCTCAGCTGTGTTCAACTATCCTTGGTCTGTCAGCACCATACAGCTCTAAAAAACAACATTAGCGCTACGACTGTTGTAAGTCTATGTTAAGGTATGGGAGCTCCGATCACCTTAGCGCAAGGATGGCATTGTACAACGCCGCTCGTTACAAGAGGAAAATGTCTTCGACCTTGGTCAGTTTGGGCTATGCTCCTTAGTTCTATAGGATGAGACGCCATGGAAGTAAACTTACCTTCAAGGCGGCGTTAAACCCAACTTTGTTATTTCCTACTGTACTTTGGCATTGGCAACCATAACTGCATTTATTCATCTGTGTAGGATTGTATAAACGTCACAAACGTTCAGTGTCAGGTGTTTAGATATCGTTGTGGAAGGTCAACCTAAATCATGCATCATGCTGACACGGTCATTACATCAGGACGTAAAACAGGGCATCCGCATTGGTCCGGAAAAAACACGTTTTTATTTCAAGGTTGTACGGATTTTAACGGACAGTTATCCTTTCAGGGCCTTAATTAAGTGAGTGAGTGAGTTGGGTTTAACACCACTATTCCAGTTATATAACGGCGTGTCACCTTGAATATGGGAGAAAAGCAAGAAGTGACGTAGTTCTTAGATCTAGACGTTTACTAATTTGGTGAAACCTACGAACACGGATATGGTGCTGACAATCATAGAAACATATTCCACGATCCTTAATTATGTCACCATGGTCTTCTGCCTGCTAAAACTGGAGGAAATAAAATAACATTTTCACCTGGGGACAGTTCCACAAATTGATCTTAGTGCTACGACTTTTCTAAGCCTAAATGAGGAACATTGATTTTACTTCTCATGACCTTACTTAATAAAAAGCATATATCAGTCATGCGGGTTCCAGATGGGACGCTATTTGCATTTCTGTTGATTGGTATGAGGGGTTAGCCCTCGGAGTCCGGTTCAGTGTTTCAAACTGATTCAATAAAAATAACTAGGATTTCTATGAGGGTAATTTGAGGTATTTTTATACGTTACTCGCCGAAAATACTTTACATGATCAAAACAGCAACTAATAATTCCATACCGATGTGAAACACAATACCATTTGTGCTGCGCCCCAAAAACCTTATGTACGTGAGGGGCGATATGATCTTCATACATCACCCTGGAGACGTCACCCCTGCCACTTCCGATACAATGCGGAAGTGAGCCTCTCTTTGAAGTCAGCCATGTTGTTATGTGTGATATTAACTCATGTTGCTATGTGCTGGCGTGGCGCAGGTATTGTATCACAAAATATACACTCGACTTCAGCGAATAAATAGCAAATACCACAAAATATCATGTATTGCGTGCCGAACATTGTAATAACGATCATACTTCAGCTACAACACGTGGTTTGAGACCACACCCTAGTGTTGCAAATGATACCTTTCTTTACAACTCAGCGTTAACATATCATCAATTATTATTGAAAACAATCCAATTTCAAAGATTCGGGGTTTAACTCGAGTTTAAGAAGTCGGTATTGAGATGTTATAAACACAAACCTTAAGAATTGAACTTATTATTCAAATTAATTATGAACAAACTCTAAGTTTAACCTTAAAAACTAAAGTCTAAAAAGATGTTTCATCTACTTGACGTTGACAAGAAGGATTTGTCCAGACAGTTTTTCAATAAAGCAGTCGACCAAAGCAAGTTCCTTCTTAATCCATCCGAAAAGTTACTCTATTTCAATATTGCGTTACCACGGAGCGTTAAGAACCTCTTTGCTCCCTGTATTGTCTCCATCCGACTCCCACGGGCACTATTTCTTTGCCAGGAACTCTAAGGTATTAAGCAATCTCGCAGCAATATACACACTGCTTAATCAGCTAGAAGCGGCATTGCGTTGCCTTCTCATTAATTCATGGGGTTCAATGAAACGTAGTTTTAGCAGCGTTTTAAGCTTTGGAGCCGATACTCGTTAGAGTTTATGGACACAATGCATTAGTGGTCAAAATGTAGTTTGGAACTGCCTAATCAAATTACGAAGCACCAATCACGTGATTAGATACTTTTGATTAGATTTCATTTTATAGGCGTCCAGAGTCGTTTTGGTATGAGTTGAGAATTGAATTGAGATTGTCTATGCTTTTTGCAATTGGCTTTCGATGATAGTGGCGGCTTCGAAAGATTAAAGTTCATGAAAAGACAGCATCTGGTGAGGAAATCGGGCATCGAATTATGAAAGTGCACAGGGAACATTACACACACCAGTATTAGACATTGAATCTTCTATTGTGTGAGCTTAATAGATCTACAAACTTAGTCGCCTTGCTTGCAGTTATTTCTACCACATGAAGACATCAGTACACTGTGACGTCTTTGAAATAAACGTGAATGCCTTTCTCTTCACCAATGCCTCGTCGTTTCTAGCTCGTGTCTCGTACTGAAAGACGCTCGCCGATATGCCTGAATTTGCTTACAAGACACGAACACTAATCAGAGAAGAATATATTTAATCATTCTGAGTTAAGACTAGCTGTCATCTCTCAAATCTGGTGGGAAGCATAGTGGATAAAGCGTGCATTTGCCCTCAAGTTTTAGCTCATCGCCACCACCACCACCAAAAGAATTATTTAAATTAACAAAACTATTATTATTAGTGGATATTGGATATTGTGAAACATGGGAAAACAATTAAATGTTCGACTCCTTTACGAGAGACCGCCTCCGTGGTCTAGTGGTAGAGCGTCCGCCCGGAGAGCGGAAGGTCCGAGGTTCGATCCCCGACCGCGTCATACCAAAAGACGTTAAAAGATGGTACTTGTTGTTACCCTGTCTGGCGCTCGGCATTAAGGGGCTTAATCAAGGACTGGTCGGCTCGGAGTCAGTATACTGTGTCTTAGTGGGGTATTCATGTTAAACTGCGGCATGGTATCTCAGTGTGCTAGCACTATAAATCGGCATCAGTCCGGACTAGTACAAGCAGCCACACAAACACATGCACGTCGCTATATAAGTGCAATAATCTTGGACGCGATGTTAAACCAAATTTCACCTCACCTCACCTCACCTCACCTCACCTCACCTCACCTCACCTCCTTTACGAGAAAATAAATGCGTGTTTGAAAGAGTGACCAAAAAGAGTTCTATCTCGAACAAAAATCTCAGCCCCCCAAGAATATTAGATGGTGGGTCACAGTAAACGCCAATAAGTGACTGGCACCCATAAAGGTGTATTGTGGTATATATTAAAACTATATACTTTGTATCAGTGGCCCTCATTTGTTAATGGTGCAATGTGTTCATCTTTACAGGCGGTGGAGACTTTGATGAAACAGAAGTGTCGCTGCCATGGTGTGTCCGGCTCATGCGCAGTGAAGACATGTTGGAGAGGGCTACCAACGTTCCGAGAAGTTGGAAATGTGTTAAAAAACGGATATGAAGGATCTGTTCGACTTGCATCTAGGTCCAGGAAAAGGTTACGTCGCCGTGACAAGTCTAAGCGTAGAGTGCCTATAACCGCCACAGAACTAGTATATATGCACAAATCTCCCAACTACTGCCGGAAAGACCTAAAGCGGGGAATTCTGGGTACCAATAGTCGACTGTGCAATCGAACGTCGATGGGTTCTGACAGTTGTGATCTTCTATGCTGTGGGCGTGGCTATAACACCCAGGTCGTTACATATGTAGAACGATGTCATTGTAAGTTCTTCTGGTGTTGCTACGTTGAGTGTAAGACCTGTGAGACGGAAATTGACCTATATACGTGCAAGTGATGCGCTTACTCCCTACATGTGGCTTAATTCAAAACGGGTCCACCATGGTCCAGTATGGAGATGGTAGCTTGGTGTGTTCAAGAACGGATTCAAGTGCAATTACAGGAAGGGAGACGGCAATACATGATATACAGGAAATGACGTTGGATCATGTGACAAGCGGAAGAATACCACGTGATATGTGCCGATTCTTGTGATTGCAGAGGAAGATTCTGTAACATATTCGCAAGGAACCCTGGGTAGTTTTGTAAAACGCTATGACTGTGGTTACTGAACTGATATTAGAAAATGCAGAAACACGATATTTATGCAAAATATTCTTGTTGCCTCAGGTCGTTGCGAGTGAGACTCACTTTAGCAATACGTTTGTTGTAGGCGCGTAACATCCCAAACTCGACGACAACCTGATCGTATAACAATGCATATTTCATACTCGGACAAAACCATTGACACATGGTACGTTGTGTCGACATAGTTTATGTCTCTGTTCAGTAGACCCGGATGTGGGACGAAGAAACAATTTGGAGATTATTTGATATTTCCCGTCGTACCTTTCTACCGGATGTTGTGTGTCCGAGTCAGCTGTAATATAATTGTGTGTAGTCCTGTGTTACGATGTTCCCAGCATGCTATTTATTTCACAAGATGTAAACATTCTATTCAATCATTGTTAATATTTCAAGTGTCCTCCGGCTCCGGCTGTATGTTTTACGTCACCTTGGCAAATCATATTATATATTGCCTGTAAATAGAGCTCAATATAGAAAAATTAAATGTTCGTTATCGTTTTTGCTTATTACTAGTTTGTTTGCGATCCGAAGCTCAGGGATAAAATTTAACAAATTGGGATGTATTATTACGTCGCCTTTAACAGTTTACCGTTGCGTAAAACAAGGTACGGTATGATTTTACTTTGGTGAAACCCACGAGCACGGATATGGCAATGACTGAAAGACAAAGGCTCATATGGGACCGACCATTTGATGATAAATTGTCACAGAAAATGCTTGAAAAAATAATTATGCTTTAGTTGAAACATAACTGTCTGCCACAAGAAATACATTATTGCAAGATGTAGTTTACAAATAAAAAAATAGGCCCATAGTTTTAATGAATACAAATACCTGGTTTTCCGTCTGTAGCTGAAATACAAAATTTCAGGCACCTCAAGAATATCAAACGGTCGGGCCCTAATCGAATCGATTCTGAGATTCGAACCAACATAAAGCGGAACCTAGCATCTTCACATCTTCTGCCCACTGGGCATTCCATGCCCATTTTACATATAAGGGCGACTGAGTATAGTGAATATCGTTATCTACGAATGTTTTTGAGCTGAAGGTTTCTGTCAGTGCAAAGGTACTTGAATGTTACACAAGTTATCTCGGAACAGCGTTGAGTTATATCCCTGACGCTTCACAACTGGCACACCTACTGGTTTATCTGGAGACAAGTACTTCAATGAGTACGATTGTTTCTGTATGAGAAATCCAACACACTGAAACCCACAGATGAGGGCGAGTTACAAGTAAAGAAACGTGGACGTGTATACATAACTGGGTCTTTCCCTTCAATCAAAATGCTTATTATTGTATCTGTAACTTATCAACTAGACATGGAATCGACATTGAGAATAAATTCTCATATCTAGTTTCCCGGCAGTTTGTATTTATTTCTTTATATTGTACAAACTGTAAATTAGGAGATTTATACTTCTATGTTTGCATAATGAACTTTTTTATGTGAACACATTTTTGTGTTCCTAACATGGAATCAGTTCCCATACTCCTGTTTCTCCGTGGCTTTAGGTAAGGCCAGTAGATGGGGAAACATACATATACAGAACAAAACAAGTTAGGGATCACGCATATTTTAGGGAATATTTTTGGTGGTGAAGACTAAGCACACGATTTCATAAAAATATCAAAAACAATATTCAACTTTCAGCATACACTCCACCCAATACAACATCCATATAGAGCAGAAAACGAAGGGTGTATCGTAAAATACGAGCGATAGGTGACACAAGCAAGGTGTTATTTGCCTTAGGTAGTGTGTTGAAAATCTATCATCAAATGAATTAGTTTTGATGTTCACACATTGTATACCGGAACACCTGTAAAAAGACCTGATTTATAAATACTTAAACATACGTGTATGCTGCAAAATGTCGAACGTCTACATATGAAATTAATGGGTTACACTGAGTCGCCAACAAGTGACAAGTCTTCCTATGCATCATTATAGGTTAAAATTAACAAATAGAGAATATCGGTAAAGGCCGCATCGTGAATTTGTTAAAAAGAAATTTAGGCTATGCTTTCATTAAAAATAGAGTTGAACACAAAATGACAGAGGAAACACATTTTACGATACCCTTTTACATAAATTGGGGGAACCATTATGAAGACAAAAACAGCGTATGCTATGTCAATGCACAGGGTAAGGCGCTCTACATTTTAACTGATAAGGTAATTTGTTAAAAACAAAATTCGCCATCTTGCATACAGGTGGTAAAATACCCTTCCAACTTTTACTGCCGCATTCAGCCCAGTGGTGTTCGGAGATTACGCCAGTGAGTTTATTTGAATTCCATTTAATATTCCCTATCAGGTGAATTCCGTTCTGTTTTCCGAGTTGAGATTCCTTAAGCCGCTTCACTTGTCGGCAGGGTTGAGTCAGGTTTACGAGCGTCTCTGCGGTTTGTTGATGGAAATATCTACTCCACGTCCCAAACACGCCTTGATCGGATCCACAGATGGGGGTAAGGAAACTATATCCCTGTTGCAGCCTGTATCATATACTTCCCCTCTTCAGGCATCGATTCTGATGACATACAACTCAAACGATTGACAGTCACTCGATACACAGAGAAATCCCGTTAGTTCGAACCCCATGAATCAGGAAACACCGGCTTCCGGGCGATTCAGAGTCTATACATTGTGAATGGTACGAACAATTCGTTATTCAAACTAACGATTGCACTTGGAATGGCAAAGTACTGATTAACAGCGTTTCATATTACATACATATGAAGAAACGAGACATGGCAAAGCGTCGGTTGCATTGGAATAAAATGCCACTTCGAAGTCCTTAAACCACTAGGCCACCCATTCCGCCATACTTGATCCAAGAGAAGAATGCACGACATCTGCGGAGAGGCTTTCGGCCTCAAATATGTCACCCATTTACGACAAACATGTGAGTTACAAGCTTAAACAACTTGAAACGTCCTTTTAAACATGAGTACAATTAACACAAAAGAATTCTCTTTTGACAAATTTGGTTTGAAGTAACAACCCACGATATGGCTAAGGGCTAAAATGCGGTCTTCAATGGAAAGTCTAAGGACCTTCATTGCATATCAGTGACGCAGCCGACATACACAGGCCTGTTACGATGAGTCTGTCGATCATGTGGAAAGATATACGACTCGACACTAAATGCTAATCCTGACGAGTTCATTTGGAGCTATACCGTTCTTTTCAACAGAATTCACTGCATAGCAAAACACGTAATGTTTTCATTGCGACATTTCCTACTAGAAATAATAATTATAATCTATTTAGTGAAAATAAATATTATAATAATGTGGCACATAATCTGAAAGTCAATGTTGATTTTGTTGATGATTCTGTACTGCTGGGCGGTACGGAAATGAGTGTCAACCAAACGAAGTGCCATATCAAATAGGCCCAGACGAGAGGCTATCTGAGCGACCACTGCATCGAGTCCATGTGTAGAGCGTTAAGAAGGTCGGCAACCCTGCATCGCTTGGATGAAGTCGGCTGGTGAAAAAACTGCTGCTCAGGACCAGTCACCGAAACCGTCAATATGTGTTTTGTTGCATCAAAATGTACACATGAAATGTAGAATAAGCAATGAATTTAATGAGACTGTCGAACACATTGTCAGCTGATCCCCAGCTTGGGCACTAACACTGTATCCTAGGCGACATGATGACGTGGCTCGAACCTTTTATTACCGTCTTCGCGATGCTTGTGGTTTTGACACAGAGGTTCATCCATGGTACGGCCCAGACTATGTAGAGGGCGTCATGGAAAAGGATAAATACAAAATTCTTCTTAATAGGCCCGTATACAACCTCAGACCTATCCAGGCCAACAGACCTTATCTTGTCCTTTTTGATAAATCCATGAAATTATTTATATTATTGAATTCTGTCACTTATGTGATTGACAAGATTCAGAAAAAACATGGCAAATATGCGGACCTCACTTTCGAAATCCCACGCTTGCATCCCAATTACCAAGTTGTCCGAATGCCCATTGTTCTCGATGCCTCATGTTTGGTACCTCCAAATCTGTTGATTGACATTGGGAGAGTACCCGGGTTAGCTACAAGGAATACAGCCCTTCTGACAATCTGTGTAATGCAGAAGGCTGCATTGTTGGGATGTCTTCACATTCTCCGAAAAGTTCTGGGTGGCTTTGACTTGGCAACGCTTCCTGGGAGCAGTCACTATTCGCTGTCTGGGCTGCGTGTAGAGGGGACAAAGGACCTGAGCTGATGATGAGCCTTACCAGCTTGACTGTGCCAGGATCACCCAAACCCTCTTTGTTGCATTTTTTATTTTTACTCTGTACATCTGCTAGAGACCATTATGAATGTTACACGAATATTACGCCACATTAAATAATCGAGTTTGAGATGGGCTATAACTAGTGGTTGACAGTATGAGCTATAAGCAATGACCCACGCCGCCAGTGCTCGTTAATACACAGTCGGCCAGATTACGACTACTGTAAACACTATTTTAGTCGGCTCGTTCAGAGCCTATTCTGTTCCGGGATACCCACGTGGGCCGGCAATCTGGCAGCTCTAATGGAAGGGTTGTGCAGCTGCAACACCAAAAGACGCTACCTGTTCATTAGGTTAATGTGATCTAACTGTATACTGTTCAAAGCGGCTTAAACCCAACACCGCACTCACTATCCTGGGACCAGACAATCCAGTGATTGACATAATGAGCATCGATCCACGCAAATGGGATACAATGACATGCATCAACTAAGTCAGCGACCACCCGATCCCGTAAGTCGCCTCTTACGACAAGCATTGGTTGCTGAAGACCTATTCTACCCCGGATCTTCACGGGTCATTTGAGGATAGCCGAACCAAAGCACAAAATGGTGACCATCATACATGACAAAGGGGAAACTGTCTTCTTCAAGGACTGAACCAGTTGTCTAGGGCGCCGCAATTCACCCTGCAGTTACCTCCCTTAACTGTGAACGGATCCAGAGATCGTGAGTTCGAATACCAGATTGGACCCAATTGTTATCATGGCTCTTTCTCCAAGCTGCAAAACACCGTGATGTAACTGAAATTATTTCCAATGCGGCGTTAAACCCAACTCACTCTCACACTCACTCATAGCATCTGCTGCAGCAAGTGCAGTTTATCATTCCGCGTTTAAACCCAACTCACTCTAATACTTACTCACAGCATCTGCTGCAGCAAGTGCAGTTTAACACTTTGCGTTAAAACCCAACTCACTCTCACACTCACTCCGTTTCTGCTGCAGCAAGTGCAGTTTATCACTTTACGTTTAAAACCCAACTCACTCTCACACTCACTCCGTTTCTGCTGCAGCAAGTGCAGTTTATCACTTTACGTTTAAAACCCAACTCACTCTCACACTTACACTGCTGCAGCAAGTGCATTCTGACGATGCCAGCCCCAGATGCATGCCTGTACGTTACATTTGGCCATTATGATTCCACACATTTCCAACTACAATTACATACGCACCGGTGTGGCCAGC